GCAAAGATGGGCTCTTTCCTGACAAAACAATGCAATGCTGTGAAACAAGTAAGGCAGCCAACAGATTCAAACGCCAACACTGGTCGAATTAGTTGTGTAGAAACTTACTTTTTCAGAGAATTCGTAACCAGCAAATGTACATCTGTTCGTTCATCTAGAAGCAACATAGCACCGAGATAGCCCACACGTTTGTCGGTGAAGCGTGGCGAGGCGATTAACTTGAGACATTCCAACTAGTGGTAAGAGAGAATATGCGTAAATTGACGCCACTTCAATGTGTACATGTAGACAGAATGGAATAAGCACATTCTGAAATCTATCTGGATCGAGTCAAAGCACACATCAAAAGGCAGGTTTTGAGCCAATACCCCTCAACTGTCTAGCTATACAACACAAAAAATGCCCGTGGAGATAGATTAGCACTAGAACTACGCTTAACCCGCCGCCGAACCAAACGTCATATCCATTCGGTGACCCAAAGGCACACTCTGATTGGTCATAACATCGGTCAATTTGAGTCAAGCTTTTCGCTTCAGCTCAAGGACTCTAGCCTGAATACCCACATGCTGTTTCAGACCACCGTATATTTGCGTACACAATGGATGATGATACAAAAGACAAAGGACCGTTGCAGGCGTCGCGAAAACACATCAAATGAGAAGCACGCCGCTGGGCTGGAAAGACTACATTTACCGGTCATTGTGCGCTGGACGTACACTAGGTAGAGTTAATAAGATGGCTTCGTCAGTCTCCCTGACATTAGTTCAATTAAATAGAATACTTATATATGTTCACTTTAAGCTTGTTTGAAACTGTAGAAGTCTTCTGTTTACCCAGGCTATAGAGCTTTTCTTGTCCGTCACTTTCACTTTCTAATAAACTCTTCTTCATAGCTTAATAGCAGTAGAGCAGTATTGTCCAGAATGCTAGTGGACTGCTGTTCACGTTCGGAGACGGCAAATTGGTTTTGATGTCGTAAAGCGTGTGGTTAACGTTTTCCCCAAACACGGTAAGAGCTCAAGACAGTTCAGTGGTTCGGATGCGAACTTTCTAAGTGAAAAGTCCATGGTTCCGATCCTGATATCTCGACTGCTTTGTAGGTTTGAGGGACCCGACATCTTCCTTCGTGCTTCTTTCGGGTGGCATGTCAGCT